CCTGGTGTGTAGTAGAGTAAAACTGCGAACAAAGAGATTGTATCACATGAAAAAGGAAGGAAGACCAGGTATTGACATCAGCAAGACACGTGATCAAAGAAAAGTGGAGGAATTTGCCCAAGCGCTTGAGGAAACCCTCCCAGGCTCGGCTGATGCTAATGCACATGAACGATGGGAACATTTCAAAACACTGTGTATAACACCACCTTGTACACATTTGGCAAGAAGACCAAAAAGGCGGCCTACGGTTTGAAGCCAATTCGGAGGAGTTGATCCCAGCCATCGAAGAAAAGATCTCTAGCAGCATACAAAGTGTGTCCTAGTGAGTACAACTTGAAGGTTCTTTGAGTTACTTGTAGCAAAGTCCAACAGACTGCCAGGAGATGTTCTAATGATTATTGGCTTCAACTCTGTTCTCAGATACAGATAGCAGCAGACACAGGTAACATCAAGGGAATGTATGACGGCATCAAGCAGGCTTTAGGTCCAATACAGAAGAAATCTGCTCCTTTGAAGTCTGCTACAGGTGTGATCATCCAGGACCAAGCACAGCAGATGAAACGCTGGGTGCAGCACTATTCTGAGCTATATTCTAGAGGGAATGTAGTAACTGAAGAGGCATTAAATAACATTGAGTGCCTGCCTGTTTTGGAAGAGTTGAGACAGTAAATCAACTTTAGCAGAAATAAAAGCGGCCTTGGATTCCCTCTGGCAAGGGATTACCTGGAAAGGATAACATCCCTGTTGAAGTGCTGTAAAGAGATCATCACCACCGAGCTGTATGAAGTCTTTTGCCTTTGCTGGAGGGAAGCTGGAGTACCACAGAACATGAAGGATGCAAACATTGTCACATTGTACAAGAACAAACGAGACAGGGGCGACTGTAATAACTACTGTGGCATCTTCTCAGCGTTGCAGGGAAGCTGTTTGCCCGTGTTGTGCTGAAGAGGCTCGAGGTGCTTGCAGACAGAGTCTATCCAGAATCACAGTGTGGATTTCAAGCTAATAGATCCACTATTGACATGGTATTTTCCCTCAGACAGTTGCAGGAGAAATGCAGGGAACAAAAACAGCCACTCTTTGAGGCCTTCATAGATCGTCCAAAGGCCTTTGATTTGGTTAGCAGGTATTTTTTAAATACTTCCAAAGATTGGATGTCCACCTCGACTCCTTAACATCATCAGGTCCTTTCATGAGGGAATGAAAGGCACTGTAGTTTTTGATGGCTCAACATCAGATCCCTTTGACATCTGAAGCGGAGTAAAACAGAGCTCTGTCCTCACACTGACTATGTTTGGGATCTTTTTTGCCATCATACTGGAACTGCAACAAATGGTGTCTATCTCCGGACTAGATCAGATGGAAAGCTCTTTAATTTCTCTAGATTGACAGCAAAGACCAAAGTCCAGCTGAATTGCATGTGGGACTTCCTCTTCGCAGATAATGCAGCCATTGTTGCCCATTCTGCTGAAGAGCTCCAACTTATGAATCGTTTTAGTAAGACCTGCCAAGATTTTGGATTAACAATCAGCCTTAAGAAAGCACAAGTCATGGGCCGGGGCCTGGACTCACCTCCCTCTATTACCATCTCAACAGATGGGAAACCCTGAGATCGGAGCCTTCAGCCTGGAGGCAGGCGGTGCATCATGGCCTCTCCCAATTTGAAGAGACCCTTGTCCAGCAGGCCAAGGCACAGAGGCAGTCCCGAAACCAGCAAAATCAGGGAGCTGGACAGGGTATAGGTTGTATTTGTCTTCAGTGTGGAACAGATTATAAATTGGCCTTCTCAGCCATACTAGGCGCTGTTCCAAGTCCTCTATTCAGAGCATGCTACCATAGTCTCTTGAGACTGAAGGATGCCTACTACTACTACTACTATTTCTGTTTTTGATTTTTTAAAAAATATGTGCCAGATAAAACCTGTTGGTCTTTAAGGTGTCAGACATCTGTTGGCTGTCATTTAAAACTGTAGGGGAGACATTCTGTTTGCACCAGGACTATCACATAGGTGTCCCCTTCCCCATCTCAGGCTGTGCATCCTCATGGCTTTCTACAAACATAAACATGCACATCAGTTTTATTTCCATGACAGCCATGTAAAATCTCATCTAGCCTGGTCTTGATGTAATACTTGCCAGCAAACTGCAGGTAA